CGCCCCCCCCTCCCACTCCCAGTGGCAGCCAAACCAGCAATATATGTCCCATAGATGCAGGGCCCGCAGGAGCAGCACAGGCCCCCACATACAAGATACAAGAGATACCCCAGCACCTGGAGTTAAGCATCCCAAAGTCAAATGTCCTGTCTGCAGCTGGTACCAGCAGAGGGGACTGTGCAAGGACATCACCTGGGGGGGGACAGACCTGGCTGTGCCTAGGTTTTACGACCCATGTAACACAACCACCCCAAGAGCCATGAAGGTGTGCACCCCTGGATCAGATTCTCCTGAAGGTCCTGGTCTTGTCCGGGTGAGTGGAGGGGTGTCATATGGGTACAGAGGTCACCATACATCTACCACCCCCAACCCCCAAGCACCAAAAGGGGCTCTGCAGCCCATGTCCCCAGGGATAGCCTCCCCATGCTGCTGAGCTCAGACTTCTGGACGGGAGAGACCACTCATTCCGCAAGGATCCCCCCGCCCCGACTTGACTCTGCAAGCAATACAGCCCCAGCCCAGCACCTTAACTGGGGGTAGGTCCAAAGAGGCAGCAAGTTGGGGACAGCAGGCGTTTTCCCCTGAGGAGAACGTAAAGGTCCCCAGGACCTGCAGTCAGTTTCTATCACCTTCCCCATGGGAAGGAGCCTTAGATACACCAGGATGAAGTGGGTGAGGCTCAGGTAGAAGCCGCAGGGTAGGTAGCCAGTTCCCAGGCCTTCCCAGCATCCCTTAGCACTGACCAGTGCAGGCGCAGCTCAGAGATGAGCTCCACTCTGTGGCCCTGGCACCATGGCAAGGTGAAGCCAAGTCACAGACAGGACCCACAGGAAGGAGGTGATCTCATGGAGCCCGACATGCCCAGATCAGGTGTTCCCTCCTTGCAGCCAGGGTCTTCATTTGGCCAGAATGCCTACGGCCCTACAGCTCTCTGCTTCGACAGGGAACCTGGCATGCACCATTCACCAGCCTTTCTACATCTGGGGAATCCAAGCCAGGAGGTAGCGAGGTGACTGCACTCACCTGGCAATCGAGGGCCTCTGGACCGTTTGAGGGCACGTCTTCCTGTGGGGCAGAGAGCAGGCTCCTTGCTGAAGGGCAGATGGTGGTGAGCACTCCCTTAACCTTTGCTCTGGGCCAGTCTTTAGGGAGCCAAGGGATGGGGTCCCCCCTTCTTCTCTCCACACGTGCCAAAGCAGCATCTGAAGCGTGGAACTTTCAGGAAGCGACTGCACAGACCCATGAGAGGACCCAATGGAGAGTTGGGGTTTCATCACTCCAGGTCCCCGGGCTGGGCAAAGGCAGCCAGTGCATGTGATCCACCACCTATGCCAGCTCCCCACGCATCCCTTCCACGTCACCGTGGCCCCAGACACTTAACCAACTGCTGAAACTGCAGGTGCCCAGCTTTGGGAGACCCTCCTGGGCCTTGGCAAGACTTCTTGGTTTCCTCCACGTTGGACTTGGCAGTCTTCTTTGACAGTTTTCCCAAACTAGGTCGAGACAGCTCCAGTCCACACCAGCAGAACAGGCTCCCTCCCCAGGGCAGTTTAGAGGAAGTGCTTTTAGAGCATGGTCAGGAGGGTCCTCCGTGTCCTGCTCTCCTTCCCCTTTGTCCTCTGGCCTCAGCTGATTCTGGCGGAGGGAGGTACGAAGGCTCCCCGACCCCACCCCCACCTGCACCCCTGACAGGAGGCCTGTGGAAGGCCAGCTTCCCCTCTGCACTCCTCCACCTCCTTTTCAGAGGGCAACCAGGGTCCCCTAGGCTGGTACTGGATCCCCTTCCTCCCTCAGGGAAAGGGGCAGAGATCCAGAGGAGGAAGAGACCAGAGGACCACACGGCGGGGTCTGGGCCGAGCAAGCTCAGGGAGGACCCAGGGAGGAGGCTGCAGAGCACGGCCCTGTTGGGCAGACCTTGCAAGCTGGGGCTGGCCCTGGAGCCGGCCGGGCCTTGTCCTCCACCTGCTCAAACGTGCTTCCACCAACCAGAGGAAACCCATTTACTAGTTTTTCTAATAAATCAATTATACTCCATATATTTCTATTTCTTATTTTACTAGTCATGTCTCCCTTTGGGGCTAAGAGGTTTGGCACCAAGGAGACACAGGGACAGACCCCCTGACTTGACCCTGAGCATTACAAGACTGCTCTGCCAAGGCCCAGGTCTGTGCCTCACTGAGACGCTGAGAAAAGCTGCTCCTTCAATGGGCTTGAAGGACTGCTGCAGGCCAAACTCACTTCTCAGCAAGGATCCATCCTGGCCCTTTCCCCAGAGCTCAGGGCTGATCTCAGCCCTCCCTGGGTGGTGGAATCACACAGTCTGGGACTCATCTCAAGGGGCAGTTTCATTGGTCTAAGTAGATGGAACATAGGTGCTGCCAGTTCACAAAAGGCTCCCCATGGGCCAGTGGGTGGTGTGGAGGTGAAAGCACTGGATCCTACATGGCCGACTGCACAGTTCAAGTCCTGGGCCTGGTGGCTTAAAAAATAAGCTGGGCCAGGACCAGCAGATGGCATAATGGCTATGTCGCTGGACTACCATGTAGTTGACTGTGGTTCCAGTCCTTGACCCAGTTGCTTAAGCT